GAAGTTGCAGTAAGAAATCCAGGCTGCTTACTATTCACAGGCCAATATTTGTGACCAGAATGTTGGCAGGAAGCAATCAGGTTTATGGGGTGGGGGGTGGGCATCTCAAGAAAATGGAGGAGCTGAGAATTGCAAAGCTCCGTCTTGTGAGGCTGTAATAGGGAGGAAAGGATGAGCAGAGCAGGAAGGCTGTGTGATGAGCAAGTGTCTTCACCCAGTGGGAGTCTCCTTTTTTTTTCCTTCTCTAAACAATACAGTGGAAATTGACCTCCTGGGGCTAGCTCCTGTTTTTTTTTTTTTTGTTGTTGTTGTTGTTTGTTTTTTTGTTTTTTAAACAGATCTGTTCTTTTAAATCTCAATTTCATTTACATGCTTTGTGTTGTCATTGTTGCATGAAACTAAATACTAAGAAGGGGTGACAAAAGTCACCAGATATAACATCTTAACCACATATGTGGGTCTTCTCTTTAGAATTTAGCATTCCCCGCAAATGAGAGGTGATGTAAAAAAGGTAGGGAGGACCCACAACCTTGCACAAGAGCAAAGTCAACAACAACTGCAGAGGAGCAGCCTGTTGCTTGCTTCTGCAGAAAGGATCAGGGATAAGAAGGCTAACGCTTGATTGGGTTTACCTTTGTTAAATTATATGATTCTTTTAAAAGCTCTATACATGTATTTGCTTTTTAATAAAAAGACACATTGAGTATAAAAAGAGACAAAGAGCACAAAATTGTAAATACATTTTTCAATTTTCTGGCATCAATAGATAAAAAATGATCACAGAGCATGTTCTATTTCTTACAAGTATTGGTCCTTGAAAGAAGTCTCTTAATTATGCAAGAGTAAAGAATATAAAGGAAGGTGGTATCCTTTGTGTTCTGGAGAAGTCATTTTTTTCAAAAGCAGGTTGACCCAAATTTCTTTTTTTAAATATCCCTTCAAATGCGAATCAGGTCTTTGGGGCTGGAGGAGGCAGATGTGATTAAATTCGCAGGGGGCAGAGGAGATTCTCAGGAGTGAAGGGATGGAGGCTCTTAAGACTAAAACCCGGGGGTGGCTCAAGTGGTAGCGGGCTCGCCTGGCATGCGTGCGGCCCAGGTTCGATCCTCAGCACCACATACCAACAAAGATGTTGTGTCCGCCGAGAACTAAAAAATAAATATTGAAAATTCTCTCTCTCTCTCCTCTCTCTTTAAAAAAAAAAAAAAAAAGACTAAAACCCTTTTCAGACTCAATAGCTTCAGGTCTCTGATGGATTTGAGATGGGAAGCTAGGAATACAAAGAGAACACTTCATTTCAGAAATGCCCATGAACTCTGTAATACAGAACAAACACCTGATGAGCAGCCCAGTCCCTGACCTTTGCCTTGAAAAGGCAACAAAACCACAAATACCAGAAGGTACCTGGAGGAACTGCTCCTTTAGGAAATATGTGTGTTAAAGGCTTTGGTGGCCAAGAAATGACCTTAGACCCATCATAGTAGTAAGACACACACCCCTGGGTAGATGCTGACCAGAGGTGATGCAGGAAGGAGATTGATTTGAATTGTGCAAGGACAATGAGTGAGCACAAGGAAAAAGGCAGGAAATTGTGTAACTCTGCCCCGACTCCACTCTAGCTCAGCCCCCTTGCTACTGTCCTTCTATAAACCTCCTCGCTCCCATTCTCAAGCATGTACTGTGACTTTATTATAAACCTCTTGCTCTGTTACTGATGCCCAATGTGTCCTAAAATTCCTTTTCATGACATGGCCAAGAACCTGCAAGGTCTGAGGAAAGATCTCCTTAGCTTTTGGAGAAGCCTTTGGACCTCCTGAAGTGACAGACTTAGTGGTCTTCAGGTACTTAGTTCTATTGGGAATGAGTGATATTTTAGCTGAACCCTGGGAGAGGGAACAGCTTATAAAAAGTTCCTTATAAAAGCTGGAAAGTGAGAAAGTGAGAACATCATCCAGTGAGATTAGTGATATGGGCAGAGATAGAATCTAGCAGAAGCCTGTGGCTTCGTTAATTAAGAATGTTGTTTTGGGGACTGGGGATTCCGTTCAACGGCAGAGTGCTTACCTTGAAAGGAAAGTGACCACAACACTCGGAGCAACCAAAAGATCTTTATTGCAGCAGTGCAACAGAGGAGAAGAGAAAGAAGGAAAGAGAGAGAGAAAGAAGAGAAGAGATGAACAGGGAGAGAGCAAGAGCAAGAGACAGACAGAGAGCATGCACAAGAAAGATAAAGAGAGCAAGAGAGAGAGGGGCCTGGCAGGAGGGAGTTTTTATAGCCCAAATCTAATGGGGCCTCTGGGTCTGCAAGCTGCCTTGTTGGCCCAAGGTGGGTTGAGTGCTCAGCCTTGAGCGGGACTTGACACAAACAGGTGATAAAGGACCAGATAGAGGGGGGTTTGAGTGCGTGAGCTATCTTGTAGCCAACATCTGTTCAGCCTGCCCTGCAGACAACACAGTTCAGCCTGCTCTGCACCCAACATACCTAGCGTGCCCAAGGCCCACAGCACCAAGTAAATAAATAAACAAAATAAAATCTAGAAAGAAAAAGAAAAAATGTTGTTTTTCACCTTAATAACACTTGAAAGACACTGAAGATTTTAAATCAGAGAAGACACAATGCAAGTTGCCTGTATATGTGCTTCCTTTTGCTCTCACATTGAGATGGAAGAGGGATGGGGACTATACAAGATCAGAAACTGAAATAGCTTACACTAGGACGGTGGGAATGGAGATAAAAAAAAAATCGTCATATTTAAGAAACCAAGAGACTCATTTGTGTGATTGTTTGGATGGAAGATTTGAGGGAGACATCAAAATGACTCCCAGTTTTCTAGTTGGCCTGAGTGGAGGAAGACAGATCCATCAAGACAGGAGCCCCCAGAGGAAGACCAGTTTTCATGGGCAGGTATGGAAGGCGTTGAGTGTGAAATCCCTTTTAAGCAATCAGCGGCTCTGTTGATTACGGAGTATTATGAAGAGTTGAGTTTTCAGCAAGGCCTAGGGTTTAACATTTCTTTTTCGTCGAAGTATATAAATTGTATTTGAAGCCATAGGGGTGCATGAGATTTCCCGAGTAGGAAAACTAGAGAAAGGAAAAGGCTGGTGTCAATATCCAACTTTTAAATGTCAGGAAAGGAGAAGGAAGAAGCAAAAGTAGAAGGTGAAGGATTTGGTAGCAGAGACGGTTGACACCAGAAGGCAGAACCAGATTCAAGTCTAGCATTTCTAAAGGGACAGTGTAATAAGAAAGAGGTGACAAATCCTTATGATCATCTGAGTTTGTTTTGTTTTATTGAGTTAATGAGATCACTTAGTAATGACCAAGATTTAAGTAATCTTTGTTTATCAAGAATAATATCTGTCTTACATTAACTGCTTTTATGTTGTTTTCCTGAATTCCAGAGGAGCAGAACAACAGTTGAAATACCAAAGGGACAAAAAAACTCTAACGCCAAAAGCACCTGAAACACCCCACACCCTGGAACACTCTGTCCTCCCCACCCTTGGTCCCACCCCTGAGCCAACACACCCTGTGGCCATTGGTGGCACAGCTTTTTGTGAGATTGCCTCTGAGCTCCACTTATAAATATGAACTTCTTGCTGAGTTTCCTTTAGTTGTTGCAGGATTTAAGGGAGAATGACAATTTTCTCTGTGTCTCTGCTCAATTCTTGAGACAAAAGCTAAGAATTCCTTGGCAGATGGCATCTGACAAGGTAATCGTTAGAATTCTATTGTCATCAGGTCATGAGGGAAGAGTATCTTATGGATCCATCATTGAATAAGGCCAGCCTTTGCCCATTTTGTCTTTAAGATAAATATTTAGTCTAGTTCTCTACAAAGTCTCAGGCAAAAGTTGACCCTGTGGGCAAAAATAGGTAAAAGTATTGGTGCTGACTTTCAGAGGGAGTTTCTTTGTCATGCTAGAGTGGGAGTCAGTAAACTTTTTGTGTAAAAAAATGACACAAAGGTATATATGTCACCCTTGCCTGCTCTGTGGCCTCAGCTGCAATACTATGGTGAAAGCAGTGGTAGAATTAAAAAAAAAAAATGAGTCAACAAAACTCGGTTCCAATTATACTCCATTTATGAATCCTGAAACTGGCGTTTTGTATAATTTCCACATGAACTTGTAATTGCATATGCTTTTCACATTATTTTTTAAAAAATGTCTCCCCAATCCATTTAAAAATTTAAAAACCATAAAAACTTGAGGGTCTCCTAAAAAAACAGATGGTAAGTGATCCCTGCTCTGACAAAGAGCATCATGGCAGGTCTTCATTGGGGTTGTCATCAACTGATCCCCTCCCCACACCACCAATAACTAATTCAGAAAGTTCAATTCCAGTTGTTGAAAGTGAAAATGTTAAACTTGGCCTAAGGGAGGAACCTGGCAAATATTGGAGTCCAGTTCCTCCAACATTCTTATTTAAGGCAATCTTAGTAGTCTGCACCATCCAAGGATGGCCATTTGCTTGAGGTTGATAAGACATAATGGTGACAGTTTAGATAAGGCTCCCGACTATAAATTCTCACAACTCCAGCTGAAGTTGAATCAGAATTGTTGTCAGTAAAGATGGTGTCTGTCAATCTATGTGTTGAAAAAACTAGCACAGAGCTGTGATTGTTGCAGCAGATGTTTGAAATGTAATTATAAGCACTTAGAGACGTTTTGAGAGGAAGTCTAACCCAAGACGTTCTTCTTTTGGTATCAGCCTGCAAAATCAATATGAATTTTTGAATTGCATTTTGAATGCTCAGAAGCCCTTAGTCTGAAATGGCCTTGGGCCAATAACATCTAGTAGGCTAGAATGTAGTATAACGCTTACAGTTGTTTCATTCTTCATATTTGTCTTAGGCTACCTGACATAAATTTAAGCAATGAGGTCATGCAAATTCCTCCTGACAGATTTACACTCAAGATGGTCTGATGACTTTCTTTTAGGAAAGCACCCTCATTTCTCCATATTATTCTTTCTTTATACAAAACCAACTCATTCTGTTGACTTGAGGTCAAATCTTTATTTCATATTCTCACTCTTTTTCTCTTTCGAGATATGGATTAAAATGGGTTGTTGTACCATCATCAGCTGAAAGACACAAACATTTAGAGGATTGTTATGGTTTGGATGCAAAGTATCCCCCAAAAGCTCACGTGTGAGACAATGCAAGAAGGTTCAGAGGAGAAATGATTGGGTTGTGAGAGTCTTAACCCAATCAGAGAATTAATTCCCTGATAGGGATTAACTGAGTGGTAACTAAAGACAATTAGGATGTGGCTAGAGAAGGTGGGCATTGGGGGCATGGCTTTGGGGTATATGTAGGTTGTATCTAGTGAGTGGAGTCTCTGGGCTTTTTCGTCATCATGTGAGCAGTTTCCCTCTGTCACACTCTTCCGCCATGATGTTCAGCTTCACCTTGAGCCCTGAGGAATGGAGCCTGCAGTGTATGGGTGGAGACCTCTGAAACTTCGAGCCCTCAAATAAACTTTTTCTGCCTTATAATTGTTCCGATCGGGTCTTTTAATAACAGCAGCAAGAAAGCTGACTAAGGACCATAGACTTTGATGATAGAATACTATACTACTCAGCTCAGGCTGCCATAACAAAATTCTGTAGACCGGGGTAACTTAAACACAGAAACTTACTTATGCACAGTTCTGGAGACTGGGAAGTCCAAGATCACATGCTGACCAATCCTGTTTCTGATGAGGTTTTGGTTCTTGGCTTCCAAATGGCTTCTTTCTTCTCACTGTGTGCTCCTGTGGAATAGACAGGAAGGAAGGAGGGGAAGAAGGGAGGGAGACACAGGAAGGCAGGGAAGGAAAGAAGAACAGAGGAAGAGAGCACTGGTGTCTCTTCTTACAAGAACATTCAACCCATTGAGTGAGAGCTCTACCCGTAGGACCTCATTTAGCCTTAGTTATCTCCTTAAAGGACTTACCTCCAAGAATGAGGATTAGGGCTTCAACATGTGAATTTTAGGGAGACAATTCAGTCCATAACAGGTACTCAACTTTCCAAAAAAATTTCTCAAAATCAAGTCCCAGATCAGTAGCCAGATTTCTGAAACTAAAGAAAACTCCCTGACTGCAAATATGCTATAAAATAGACATTTTCCAAGAAAACTGTTCCTCAGCCACCCCATAATTCCCCTGGCTCAACCTCTAGTAGAGACGTGGGGACAAGGAAGCCTCCAGTCTTGAATGTGTGATAACATTGTTGTAGGACAGACCAAGCTAGACACCAAGGAAGGAGCAGGAAGCAGGTTTATTGGCTGCAGCCAGGTCAGAGGGAAAAAGCTTTCATTATAATCAATCAATCCCCCTGAACACCACAGCGAGTTCAGGAAGTTCACAATCTGCATAAGTCTGCATAACAGTAGTTCTTACGCATTCTTCATGGCTCCCAACTCCGGACAGGTTTTACAAAAATAACTCTCAAAGATGCTCTCTGTGAAGATCAGTGCCTAGGAAAGACAGAATCCGCCCCCCACCCCATTATTTGACCAGCTGGCTTTCAAGGACCTAACTTTGAAATGCAAATGCCTCTTGGGTTAGTCTTTCTTATCACACCCTGCCTCTGCAGGCATATCCCCTACCTGAAAATTCTTTTGCAGAAATTTTGCTGAGAACACACAACAATTAGGGTGAGGGTCTCTAGAGAAGCTTAATTAAGACTGTCTGTGGAAGACAGGGAGAAGGGGTGCCACTACAACATAAATAAGTATAAAAATGATGTGTGTGTGTGTGTGTGTGTTACTAGAAATTTGAACCCAGGGGAGTGCTATCACTGAACTACATCCCCAGCCCTTCAGTTTGTTTGTTTATTTTAAATTTTGAAACAAACTCTCACCAAGTTTTCCAGGCTGGCCTTAAATTTGTGATTCTCCTGCCCCAGCCTTCTGAGCAACTGAGATTATAGGTATATGCCACTGGGCTCAGCTAAAAATGTATTCTTAAGTCCTATTTTATCATAGCAGCCCGTACTTTCCTCCATTATACTACTTTTGAATTGCAAAAGTGCTACTTAACAGAAGAAGAAAGAGAACATTTCTGGTGGTTGCAGTAGCTCTGTGTAGAATGCATGCTTAACATATGAAAGACCTGGATTCAATCTCTAATACTAAAATAAAACAAAAATTGGAAACAAACAAAACATTTCTGGGTTTTATGTAACTAGGAGCAAGCATGTGAGAACAGAAGAAAGACCTTTTGCTTTATTACAGACAAAGGTGTGTCTGCTTTAATGATCTAAACTTTGAAGATTAGCAGGTCTCCAAAATGAAGATAACCAAATACTCACATTCAAAGCCTACTAGCAAATTAACCATGAACCTGGCAGGCTAATTATTCACTGCGTACATTACATTTTATTAAAAACATACACTACATACAGAAAGTCATCTCTGTATACTTATGTGGATATGTTTTGACTATATTTACTGCTTATCTACCTCTCTGTTGCTTATGTGAAGACATTTTTTTGATTTGAAGATGAAGGTCAAGAACTGACACTGGTAACGCTCACTCACTGCTTAGAGATGGAGGAATTCAAATGCCCATGCTTTCGTGTCCCCACAGCTGCTTGCTCACCTTACTATGACTTACTATTCAGTTGTCTCTGTTGGTGTGACTTCCTAGTATACCCACCCATTCTTCACTGGCAGTGTGACAAGACTGCCTGTCCCCCATTCGTTAGGCTGTCTTACCTTCTGTTCTCACCAGTGTGGGTGGTTACATCTTAATCCTCACCGAATTCTAGTCACTCCTTGCCGCAGTCTGGCACAAGATCACCAGCCACTCACAGCTTTGTAGATTCAAACAGCAATTCTTTATTCCCAAACTCACACTGGCCTCTACACACGTTCTGGGGAAATCCAAGTTCTGCTGCAAAATTCACGTACTCCACCAGGCTTTGAATCCCAAAAACTTTCTGAATTCCACGAGAACTCAACGGGAACTCAGGCAGCAGGATACCCCTATTCCCAGCAGGAATAACCTTAAACCTGGAACTGCCCTAAACCCAGATTGTCCTAAACCGGGAACGCCCTAAACCCAAGGAGCGGGGATACTTCCTAAAACCTGCAGGATACACCCTAAACCTGGATCCACCCTGGTCCTTGAGCAGGGTCACCTTTCTCAAACATACATGCAATGTCACAGCGAATGTCCAAGGCAAGTCCATTTCCACGAGTCCTTCCTCTAAGCAACATGGGGTACACTGGCAAGGAAATTTCGATGTGTCATTCCTACTTGGCAATGGCCCTCAGCAACTCCTCCTTGCCCTGAAAGAACCACTTCAAGCTAAACTTCTAACCTCCATGAATTCAGACCTTGTTCCCATACTGAGACATTACCAAAGCTGTGTGGAAGTGGGGTTCCCACTTGATATTAGGTGAACAATTAATTGAGCTTTGTCTTATCAATAGGTTGTGCTTAGTGATATTTGAGGAGCCACTTGTCTCTGAGGGCTTTTAAAAATTGTTTGGCATTAAAAAAAGTTATGATTTTAGCTTTCAAGAAAGTTTACAAATGGCTAGTTTTTATTGGCTTCTTTAAAAGATAAATGATCACTTCTCCCCCAACATTTAAAAACACATCTTCCAACAGCAACTGCCATATGGTCTTATCATTGTTATCTTGAGAGGTATGTAACTTTGGTATAAGATTTTTTTCAGGAATATGAGCTGGGATGTAATTCAGTGATAGAGCACTCTCCTAGCATGCTCAAGGCTAGTTTTGATTCCTAGCAGGTAAACACAAAACAAGATTACCTGGTAGGTGGGATATTCATTTTGCTGGCCCATCATGACTGGTATTGTCTTCTTTCTTGCCTTCCTGTTCACTTATTACATGGAGATTCCCATACTCCTGACCCTTTGGGAACTCACTGCTGGGTAAATGATGGAGATCATCTGATATCACATAATATAAAGTGCTATGACTGTTCTCAGAGTCTTTTCCTAACAGATTTTGGACATGTTCTTGTAGAGTGACATTTTTTTTTTTTTTTTGGTCAGAAAATATAGTACACAATGTCATGCCTACAGGCAGAGAATTAGTAAAGACATCCAAGTTTGAGCAGGATTCCAGGTTGGCTCAGAATAAAGATTCTATAGGTCTTATGTGCTTGTATGATCTTGGTACATCTTCTCCACCTCTGGGTTAGGAGCTCCTCGAGTTTTTACTAAAATGGTATGTTGACTATTAACAGTTTCACATGGTCTGGAGGAGGTTGAGGGAAATAGGGCTAATAAATGAAATCTACATTAGCTTCAAAGTAGATAAGTGAAACAGGGTGATGAATTCACAGGAAATTAGTATATTATTCACAATGCTTTTGTATATATTTGAAAACTTTTAATGATATAATTATAGAAAAAACTCTGCACATTCAATTTGGAAGCTGGTATAACAGTTACACCAGTTAGCAATTGCCTTGGTTCATCCAAAAAATCAAGTCTGCAACAGTCAGAAGAACTTTCAGTGATTTGAAATCAATGTTGAAGCTCTTGGGAGAAAATAAATAAAAAAAACATTATGAAGCTATTAGATTATTTTGTTAAATTTCAATTTTTGAAAAAGGAGTGAGTATACCTCAAAGATTTCAGCTTTTATTTTGTCATTTAGCATAAATCGAAAGATCGGTTTCAATTTATTTTCAGAGTATGAGATGGAAGCCCTTGAGATGTCCAACTGGAAGAATATTGTACATTGATTTATAGTAAAGGAGAGGTATATAATTTTTTTCTATTAAGTACAGATAGTTATATTTTCAGCTTTATAAGCTATAGATTTTCTCTCACCAATACCTCTACTCTTCTGTTATAACACAAAAACAACATTACCTAATTCATGAACAAATGGTTGTGGCTGGGTACCAATAAAACTTTATTTACAAAAACTGACAAGAGGCCACATTGGGTTTATAGGGCTGTAGCCTTCCAATTCTTGGATCAGAGTATGAGCTCTGGAATTAGACAGACCTGGCTTTGTATCCCGACTTTTCTATGTGTTAACTCTGTGACTTGGGAAAATTCACATAGCCACTTTGAGCTCTCGTTTGCTTATTTCTAAAGTGAGGAATTATGATATCTGCCTCATATATGACTGATGAAAAAAAATATATGTAAGATAGTGCTTGTGAGCGGCTTAGCTAAATGCCTGCTGCTAAATAATTTATGATCATTATTAACCAATTCTCTTTGGCTATTATGTGGTTTATTGCTTATCTAGTTATATACCTTTCACCATTTTCTTCATCAAAATGCAAAAGGAGATCTTGTCATTTAAGGAACTGAGACTCAAGTGTAAAATATCTAAGAATTATTCTGATAGTCTGTACTAGTTTTTATCACCAACAACATTGTTATTGTCATCTTGTTGTTTTAGTTGGTTGGTAACAATTAAGTTTTTCCATTTCCATTTCCAGCTCTAAATTTGACCCCCAATGAAACAGAAACAGAAGTCAGACTTGGGTGGAAATTTGAATATTGATACCAGGGACTTTCAGATATCCTCCTACACCAGGTAATTTTACTTACCTAATGTAGGAGAATATTCTACAGTATGGGACAATTGTGTGCCTGCTCTTTGGATGAGGCAAACCTATCTTGGTAAGTTTCTTGCCTGCAGAAGAGTTAACTAATATGCTTGTGTCCTTCCAATAAGTTGGTTCCAAAAGGAAAGAGGGTTTGAGCTGGATAGGACGTTCCCAAATATAGTAAATGTAAGGAGTAGCAAGAGAAGTCAGGGGTGTC